ATGGTACGTATTCACGTTCTCTAATTACCGTAATTGAGTGTGAGAGTATGATGTGAGAGAGAGGGAAAGTAGTAATCAGATAGAGTGTGTAAACAGCATGCAACTTCACTAAATAGTTTTTAATGAACTTTATGATGATATTTATGTAATAACGTCATTCTTATGTAAAACAAACTGAATATGATTGAAATTTGAGATGTGAGAAGCGAAAATGGGAGAAAGATGAAAAGATTTTCATTTGATCCAGACACAGAGCCAAAGGTTGAAAAATGAAAATGTTGACTTCTATGTGAACAAGTTATGAACGAATATTATAATTGTAGGAGTGTCAGCCGACACAGAAATGCGACGCATTTCTCAAGGAGCAATAGGATCTCATTCAAAGAGGTAAAATGATTTAGCATGCCTAATATGGAGAGAAAGAAATCTTGGATTGCCAGCATAGCATATGGTAATCAGGGAAAATCGAACAAAGACATTGTTCTGATAACATACAGAGGGTGTGGGTGATAGAGAGAAAGAGAAGGTGATAGATGAGGAAGTAGATAGTTACAGATAACCAGAGCCAAACATAGGGACTAGGTGAAGCCGTGCAGTTGAGAGAAAGAGAGAGAGAGAGACCGACCTCAGAAGGAGGGAAAGCTGACAAAGAAAAGAAAACAAAATCTCAACGAATTCAGGATGAATGCCGTAACTAACCAAAACACAGCTTTGCGTACTTCAAAAGAACTATTTTGCGTGAAACGTCTCTCTCTCTCTCTATCTCTATTTCTGAGTGTATGTGTGTGAGGATAATAATGATATTTTATAGCATCCATTGTTCTTCTCAGAAGTCATTGGAATTTTTCATTCACTTTGTTGCTTCTTCTTCACTTTTATTTTTTGTTGCCTTGTTTCTCTTCTATCTTTTATTATTTTAAAAAGAGATAGAGGGAGGGAGGAGGAAGAGAGGTAGGGAGGTTGTCAGGGAGAGGAACAGGTAGGAACTGAGTGGAAAAGAAAACAAAAATGCAAATTGAAGGAAGATTTCATCTTTTTGTCTTTTCCATATCCCCTCACTCTCTCTCTCTCTCTCTCTTTTACTCTTCTTCCTTCCCTTCCCTCTCTGTTCAGTTGCAAATATCCTTAATTATCATTATGTTTTGCAGTCTACCAGCCATCATCATATTTTCCATCAAATTCTTTTTTTTTGCCCGTGAAAATCTAAATTCTTCGCATTTTTCGTTTTATTTTGTCTTTCCCTCTCCTTCCCTCCCTTTCTCTCTCTCTCTCTCAATCACTCTCTATTTTACTCCCTCTCTCTCTCTATCTCATATAGTTTATGGTAGTAATGAGCATAACAGCTTTATTCCACCCATTCTCGGACATTTGAGATCTGAGATTCTCGGATCACATGACTATAAGCTGAGCGAGCATCTCTTTTTTCGGTTATTAAAATAATTTTTTTCATTCCCCAAATATCAATTTGACTGTGATTTCAAAGAACGTATGGTGAAGGAAAGTCCAGACATTGTCATCTCTGGCACAGTTACTATGTGATAGAACGAGAGACATGCATAGAGAAAGAGAGAGAAAGTAAAAGCAGAGGTAGAGGTGGAGAAGTGGGAGTGTTCTGCGGGAGTGCATATATGGCTGAGGTAGAATGAGAGAATGAAAGATAAAGGAGAAAGAGAGTGAAAAAGACTTTTTGACTTCTTGAAGATATGAAGGAAGAAACGGAAGGAAATGAAAGAAAGACAGGAAATGAGGAATGAGACAGAGAGAAGGAGAGTATGAGAGGGCATATCCTTAGATAAAGAAAACAAATGTTTCAAGCTTTGATTGTCCATTATTACATTAATAATTGATTTTGGAGAAATAGAACAGGTGTGTCTCAAAGAATAATCAGCTTATAGTTAATATATGTTATAATATTTATTTATATATGTAACCAAGGTATTACATAGTAATCAGAGAGCAAAGCTCCCTCCCTCTCTCTCCCTGCTTCTCCTTCTGGTAATTTTAGTCTTGAAACCGAGAACATTCCTGAGAAAATTTTGGAAAAACCCTGAATATTCCAGTCAATTGTTCTCTTTTGGATTATAACGGCCTGTAGCCCCCCTCTCTGAAACCCATATTCTGAGAAATCGAAGAGAAAGTTGGAAGAGGAAGAAGACGAGGAAGAAGAGGAAGAGAAAGCCAATAGCAAAGAGATAAGAAGGTATTCTTCTTACAAGCACTTTTTGGTGATATCCTCTTTAATAACCTTTTCCTCTTTGTTATAATCTTCCTCCATTCTTCAATCCCTCTCTATCTCTCTATCTCTCTTTCCCTCCCTCTCTCTCTGTCTCTCTCTCTTGCTACATCTCAGCTTGACTATCACTGTTCTATTCTCTCTACTTGTTCTGCTCTGCTACTTACTTTGTGTGCTTCATCATACACCTGTCCTTCAACTTCATTCATCTACAAACTGAATGATAGAGGAAGCGAAGCATAAGTACAAGAGATATCCATATAAGACTATCAAGCACATATACTACATGCAAATTACATTTTTTATCATCTAATTATTCTTAACTATACTAATTATGTATCATAGAACTAATGTGAGACATTACGATAAGTCTCCCAACAGAACTCTCAATACTATCATTAGATCGAGAAGGTTTGATTTTTGCTTTTTTCTTTTTTTTGTTCAATTTTTAAAAATGTCGCTGCTCGAAGACTTACATGTCAACACATCTGAATGCTTTTCGTCGGCTCAGATGAGCATGAAGCTGATCATTCAATTTTCATCAAATGCTTTATCATTTACTAATGCAAAAATATATTTATTATAACAGTGAAATTAGGATGAAGGATATGTAAGGCTTTCTCGTCAAATGAGAAGCTTGTTATATGAGAATAAGCTTTAAGATAAAGCTTGTCATACAATTAAAACCTTTTCCAGCATCAAACATGCGACGATTATCATTTGATTCTCTCCTTCCTCCCCCTCCTCTCCTCCTCCTCCTCCTTCTCCTAATTCTTCCCTCCTTCTTTCTATCTCCTTTCATTCTTTTGTTCGTCTCTTATTCTCATCCATCTCTAGCTCTTCCTTATACTTTCAAATTCGTTCTCTCTCTCTCTCTCCCTCTCTCTGTCTCTCTCAATGCTCTTCACATTATCCTCATTCTCTCGTTGTCTCTTTCTTTACTGCAGAGAAAAGCAACACCTCCACATGACTATAAACTAATAGTTAATCCCGTTTGGCACGTCTAGTCCTCTCTCTCCTTGTCTTCAGCCAACCATATTTACCTAAATTACTCCAAAATAAAATTATTTATCGTTGAGACAGCTCATTTTCTTGATACTCTCTCTCTCTCTCTCTCTCTCTCTCTCTCTCTCTCTCTCTCTCTCTATGATCACCTCAAGACAGCATCAGTTCATCTATACTTTGATATTGAACATCAAAAAACATAAATACAAAATGATAATTATTTGTTTTCCATTCTTGACTGATCAGCCACATATCTTCCTTTCATTGAGTGCATGTTATAAATCCCTTAGACGGATTATTATTTGTATGTTTTAGCCCAAAACAGCCAATCCCGATATATCATTCCTTAAAAGCTTAACCAACATATCCTCATACAATTTATTGACTAAATAGCTTTTAATGTATATCTGCCATTCTAGGTGAACATTCTAACGACTCCCCCCCCCCTTACCCCACCTCAGATGTTTGTTCGCTCTAGACATCTCCTTCGCGTCTCCATTCAGACACCTCTTACGTATACTTTAGCAACTTTCAGCTCTGACTAGAAAATCTTCATTATATCTTTCCCTTCTTCTTCTTCGTCTTCTCCATTTGTCTCTCTCTCTCTCTCTTCCTCCTCCAAATCCACTATCCCACCCTCCTTCTTCCACTCTTTTTTTCCAAATTATACCTACTGCGTCTATTAGAATTGATTTCGTTGCTATGAAAGCATACGTATGACCAAATCTATATGTATGCTATACATGCAAAGATCTTCACACTATTCTTAATTTTCAAATTAGTCAGACTCAAATTACAAGTCTCACAAATCTCACCCAAGTTCATTCTGATGCAAAAATTCGTTTGGCCTCAGCTTCATATATCGCCAACGTCATCAACTCATTCAGTTTTTCAAATAATTTTCAGTTTGAGATGAGAAAATATCAAAAAAAATAACAAAAAAAGCAAAAACCATCTTTGTTTCGCTGACACAAACACATAGTTATACTATATATAGTATATAGTATACAGCTTAGAGAGCGAAAATGATATTTTTGATAATTTTTGTTCTTTTCACACGAACTTTCTATTCTCTTTTGCCTTTTCTCTCACATGCACCACATCTCGTGACAGTATAGAAGAAAGAGAGAGAGTTATAGAGAGTAACACTGAGAGACAGAGAGAGAGACGAATGTTGCTTACAACAGTTTACATTACTATTATTATTATTATTATTATTATATAGTAAAATAGTATCAGAATAGTTCAGCTATATCAGATTATAGATATGCCAGTTGTAGAAACAACATTTACCTAGCAGAGCATACATCTTCTGCTATACTATAATCCTATTTATGTTATAATTTCCCACACCATCTACATCATAAGCTCATTCGCTCATTTTCACATCTTCATTATTGTCAATCTCTTTCAATCACACTCACACACACATACACATATCTCCATCTTCGTTATATGATTAAATCTTACAAATGAGTTATTATCATTCTTTTTAGATATGCTTTACGCAAAATAATTCCTCAAACTACACATATACTGAGGGATAACGGAATAATAGTCTTTAGAACCTTTTTGCTCTTCAGTCTTGAACAAAAGTGTTCTCCCCTCCTTCATTCCTTAACGCTTTCATCTCCCTTCCCCTCTCTCTTGCTCTGTTCTCGTTCAGAGTCGGCCATTAGTCAGCGTATTTAATATTTAAAAAAAAACTAGAAAATTGCGCTAATACCTATAATCTAGCTGTTGTTTTCTATGAAAAGTCAGCATGAACTCTGCAATTCTGCAAGGCTCCATCATGGCAACATCTCACGGGATAAGCCGTTTGAATAGGCATAGGAATGTTCGAGCTTTCAATATTCCACCAACTGATAAACTAGGCTATAGAACTCGTGTTCGGAAACGGTCAGATCTTAATATCAGCCATACTACAAATAGTCAGCGCAGCTAATGAAACAACTTAGAATGTAATCAAAAATCAAAATATTTTCTTCAAATATGCTATAACTCTCATTGTTAATAATTGTTGCGCCAAGTGAATGTATCTTCGCCCCAAAAATGACTATAAAATGTGAGAAAAATCATTAACAACACCTACGAATTCCTTCTTGTGAGAGATGGAAGTCGTAATCCTTGGGTGAAAATGAAATTAAAAACATAAAAATTGAAAAGCTTATCATAACATTTTCCATTCAGATCAGGGCAACATGAATCAGAAAAAGTTGCAGACGAAGAGAATCATTTGCTCTTTACGGAAGTTAACTCATGTTCTGATGATGCAATGCCAAGCATCCAAAAAGTTTGAAAAACTCCTATCATTTACAACGTCTAACTTATAAATGTTTGAAGGGACTCATTGTTGACTCAGCAGTTTCTTCTTCATCCTTTCTTCGTTTAAATGTTGGTGGCGCATGTTTCATGCTTAAACGGGAAACTGTCCAAAAGAGAGGAGTAGGTAAGTGGAGCTCTTGCTCTCTTGCTCACATGTTAAACTTCTTACAAAATTTGAACAAAAAAAAAGATTACCTGCACGCTACACATTGATAAGAGAATTGTTTTGGTTTGAAAATGCACAGCGCAACAACCGTCTGTCATGAGACATATCATTTGATTGAAGCTCATAGTTTCAAATTAGCGCGCGCAATCAGCTAATTAGCATATTTCGTTGTGAAACTATTTTCAATCGCAGATGTATGTGCATGTTCAAGCGATTTTCCTCCAAAGCTAGTTGATCTTGCATTACACTTAATCTATATTTACAGGAAGATTGCTATTTTTGGTGAATGCGAAAGATGCTTCATTAGCAGAATTTGATGCTTATCTTGAGCAAAGCCGAGAGTATTACTTCGAAAGACCTCCTGCTCTTTTTCATATCATTTACCAATTTTATTTAACAGGTTTCTTCATAATGTTAATTTCATTTCCGCAATCATTATATTTCAGGACAAATTCATCAGCCGTCACATTTGTGTCCAAATGATATTTTGGACGAACTGGATTATTGGGGAATCGTTCCTGATGATTATTTAGCCCCTTGTTGTTGTGTTGATGAAAAGGTTAGCTTATCCACTCTCTCTCCTCCCCTCTTATTCAAATCTCATTTGGTTTAAGGGAGATGATAGCTCATCGATTGCGTCGGAGGAAAAGCCGAATCTGTTCAAAAGCTTATATTTGGGTGAATTGAGACGGAAAATTTGGAATGTCATGGAAGAACCGGCCAGGTAGGAGAATGTGGAATTCATCTTCTGAAAATTTGAATTCAGCTCAATACTTGCTCAAATATTTGCTACATTATCGGTTCTGTTCGTGTTGATATCCATATCTGGCTTAGTACTAGGCTCTCTGCCTGAACTCCAAATTCCAATAGTGAAAAATGTGACGGAAGGTGAGTAATCAGAGAGTAGACGAAAAGAGCACAACAAGAGTTGTTGCAGGCCAAATTGTGGATATGGAACCGTTGCCTATAATTGGTTATGTGGAATATGTGTGCATAGTTTGGTTCACTCTGGAATATGGTAACTGCACAATTCAATATGCTATCTTACCTTTCTGTTTCAGCCATCAAGATGGTTGTCACAGCTGAACGAAGGAAAACTTTCTTCCAACTGCTCAACATCATAGATCTGATGGCCATTTTACCGTTTGTAATCGAAATGCTACTACTTGTAGCTGGAGTTAGTACTGATCAACTTCGAGATTTAAAGGTTGTCCGCACTATACTCAGATAGATGCTTACTCTTCGTTTCAGGGCGCTTTTCTTGTGATTCGAATATTACGGGTTCTTCGAGTGATTCGAGTGCTGAAATTAGGTCGCTACAGCAGTGGCTTGCAAATGTTTGGAAAAACATTGAAGGTTCATCTCTTAGAACTCTATGATCTGATACAACATGTTCATTTCTAGGCATCTTTCCGACAATTGGGTATGATGGCTATGGTAGTACTAACAGGGGTGATATTCTTCTCTACGCTTGTATATTTCCTGGAGAAAGACGAACCGAATTCTGGTTTCTCATCCATTCCAGCTGCTTGTTGGTGGTAAGTTGAGCAAACTTGTTGTTTTAAATTCTATACTCGTGCACTTTCTAAATTTCATCTAATTATAAATCCTTTTCATGTGTATCGTTACGATGACAACAGTCGGTAAGTTGCAGTTGTAGTTCTGTGACGCGTGAAATGTGTTTTCATATTTTCGACATTCAAGAATTCATAACTAATTTATTTCCATTTCAGGCTATGGAGACTTGACCCCAGTTACAGTTCGTAAGTTACATCTGAACCTTTCTAGTCTCAAGTGATTATACTTCCAGCTGGCAAACTAGTGGCGACTGGAGCAATCGCTTGTGGAGTTCTTGTTTTAGCACTCCCCATTACCATCATAGTAAGTTTGACGCCAATACTCTTGTTCTCTCCAATCTTACTGCCTGTTCCGTTTGCTACTGGGCTTGGCTTCAGTAACTTGTCGTCAGCTAATTGTACCAGTATCAAGCCTTACAGAAGTTTCAATTGCTCGAAACATCAAAAAAACAAAATCATTATCATATTCATAGAAAATATGAGCGAAGAAATTTAGGCTCAGGTTGCGTTCACAATCAAGGAAAGAAAAAAGAAAAAATGCTGTTTGGGAGAACGTGAGCGGATGTGCGTGTGGCCATCCAAGTATAGCTTGAACGGCTTCAGAAAATACAAACCATTCACGCGCTTTCGCTGCACTACTCTACCCATGTTTTCTTTGCTTTTGTAAAACAAAATATAATTTCACAAGAGGAGAAAATCGTCCTGACAAGATTATTTTGTTTTTGAGAACCGTAGTAGAGCCAAGCCTGCATTTTATCATTGATCACATTAACCAAGAAAGTTTTCAGGTCGACAACTTCATGAAAGTAGCCGAAGGAGAAAGAGACCAGCCTAGTGGAGTAGCATCTCGATTCGGCTCTCGTCCACAGCCTGCAAGGTGATTGTCGAGTTCTACATTTGGCATCAAATTTATTGAGAAAAAATGGAAAATATTCTTTGATATGAAAGTATTTGCAAATTATTCGCATCACTTTTTGGAGATGATGTAAAGGAGAGGAATCTCCCAAACTCTATTTTGAGCGAGCCAATCATATGAAAGCTTAACTGATAAGTTCATGCGATTTATCACAGACCGATTATTTATCTCTCGTGTTGTCATCATGCATGTTGCCATCTATAATCGGTAGGACGAAAGAGAAAAGAGAGTAAGAGACAAAGAGTTAGAGAGAAAGATAGTGAAATAGAACGTAACCGCTTGTTAGTCCTGATATGTTTGAAGTAATCAAATGCTCATGATCACGTGGAACTCTCGTGTGTTTCATTTGTAGATCTATTTGGAGCCGCTCCTAACGAGCGAACAAACATAAACATCAAACGAATGTATATTTGGGAGAGTTGATAGAAAGAGAATTAAACACCAGAGAGATAACTGAAAGCTCCGAACTGATAACGATTGTTCGGTGTTTGAAGTTTTTTGATGCCTCCTAAGGTCGCATCACTAATGAGGTAGCTGTTGTTTGATCGTTTATTATTTTCAGTATGCCTATCACGGACATGGGTGTCACACGACAGGTCAGCATGAAAAAGCCGCTGACGCAAGATACCATTTGCTGATTTGCGTTTTCGCAAAAAAACAAAATTTCTGTGAAATTGTAGTCCATCCTGATCAACACTGATCTCCAATACTTCATCTTTACCATAAACACATGTGATAATCATTAAACCAACTTTTATTTACTCAAAATATTTTTATAAACGTGATTAATATTCTTTATAAAGTTTAATATGCGTTGTTCGATCTGATCACTACGTTCTACTTCAGTAATCTGTCTTGTCTGGCTTAGTCTTCCACATATCGAATGGCTTCAAATAGTTTTCCATTGCGAAATGTTCCAATTTTCTAGAAAACAGTCATCGTTGTCTATTGCCTGTTCACACGTCATACTACCTCAACTTGTCAGTCTTGGGATCTTTCAAGAAGTCATGGAACTCCTTATCATCGAAACCAGCATCAGCCGCCTTTAAATTAATAAAATAAGATTGATTGGTGTTGTTTCTTGAGTCTGACCTGTTCAGCAGAAGCAGCATAATAAATGGCGTCAAATCGTGCCCATAAACAAGCGCCCATGCACATTGGACATGGATAGCATGATGTATAAAGAACACATCCGGATAAGTTGAATGATCCTACAACGAAGTTCCGTATCAACAAAACGTTTGTACTCCTATCATCTAACCTAGTTTCTTGCAAGCGTTTCGAATGGCAGTTACTTCAGCGTGCATAGTTGGGTCTTGAGTTTGTAATACCTAAGAAACAAAAAAAGTTATGACAAAGATCAAGAAATACAAAAGCTAGAGGTCAATGCGTTTGTCCTCGATAGATATCATATCATGACCTTCTGCATACAATGCAACGTGAAAAAAACTTTAAAAACTTGCCATGTTGTGTCCGGTAGCAACAATCTCGCCGTTCTTAACAACAACAGCTCCGAATGGACCACCATCTCCTTTACTGACTCCACTACAGGCTTCCTCTAATGCTTTTTGCATATAAGATTTGTCTGAAGGAGAACATGATCATCAATTGGTCTTAGCATGGCCGCTAATCATATAACGGGGAAAATAGGGTACCGTTTTCAGAATGATCTGTGCACACTCGGTTAAATGGTGCTGGAGGCATGTTTCAGCTTAGTGATTCGAAAGGTAGAGAGAACGGAAGGCTAGGCCTTATATATGACTCGAGATTCTTATCAACTCATATTCATTTATCTACCGGTAAACGCAACAGAAAAATTGTGGGCGTCCCACTGCTTTCTTTCAACGATCATATCAACTTGTAAAGTTGTCCAGAGGGAAAGCAAATAAAAACAAAAATGTTTTAACAATCTCAATATGTTTTGAACCTTGTTCGCATACGCACTTTTCATAACTTATCAACGTTTCGAAACAGAAAATACTTTGAGCAAACCATTGACGCTCTCTGTCACGAGTTTCAAATAGAACAGATTCAGCATTAGAACTCTCATTGCAATATTTGCTCTTAGCTCATACAAAGAGGATTCATACGTAATTGTAATTGAAAAACAACTTTATCATGTTCTCATTATACTAGAGAGGAACTGATGTTTGAAACACATTTTTGTACGAATGTTTTGAACGTCACAAACCTGGATGAGCCGTCATCTTTTCGAGAATAGTCGAGAGGAGGAGATGTCGTCGATGCACTGACGATGCGAATGAAATTCTGCCGTCTATTTGAGACAAATGGATGGGAGGAAACAACGTGACAAACGGGTTTCTTCTTTACTACCGCGATTATCGACTTTACAGTTTTAAACTCAGTTCATCAACGAAGCGAAATTAATAAATGTCAAAACCGTGATTGATTGTCTGCGTATGTGTCTGTGTGCGTGTGCATGTGAGTGTATGTGTCTCGTCTCGACTTCTCCAATGTCGAATGAGCTAATGCGTGTAAGCGCTCAAGGACCAAATGGTCGTGGAAAATAACACCCTTTATACGAAACAGTTTGTAACTTCCGATTAGGATATGTGGACCCACCCTTTTTCTCCAAAACCATGTGAAATTAGATAAAAGTTTAAAGTGATAACCATAACTGGAGAACAAATGTTCAAACGTGTCGCTACCGCTAGAGACAGTTCATGTCGTTCAGCACAATCAAAGGGAAGCAGAGGGGGGATAGTACGAAAAATTTATTATTTATTAAAGTTTTAGAAAATCTGTGAACAACATTATTAAAATGAATTAGAACAAAAAATATTATTATTAAAGATTCAAACTTGAAAACAATGCGTTTTACAAGAATTTGACGACTTCAGAAGCGAGAAGAGGATTGTTCATGAACAACTCGTTTCGTACGACGTCTAGAGAGAGCAGAGACTTAACCCATGATTTGAGTTCATCATATTTCATCTGTGAATACAATCGAGATAGTTATGTGATAGACAAGACAGCATACCTTCATACTCTCCGATTCTTCGGAGGAGCTTATAGAATTTCGTTCGTAAGAACATCGAGTCAAAGACGAGTCAGAGTTATCTCGAAGAGCTATAACTGTAAGAAATCTGCATTGTCTTCCCTCCAAACAACTAATGATTACCTGTTTTCGAATTCTCCATGGAAATTAGACAAGGTAAATCGTTTGGTGGAGGCTGAAACAGTTAGAAGTTAGAGATAGGACTCGAAATTCCTTAACCAACCATCTCATTGTCCGAGTACTGTCCATCATCAGAAGAGTCTGTAAAGCATAAACATCTCTGTCATCAGAATCAAAAACTAACTGGAAGAGAGATCACTAATGGACGACGATTTATGAGAATATAAGAGTTTGCTTTTAGCTTCAACTTCCTCAGGAGCAACTTTGCGTGCAAATTGACAGTTACTAGTGACATGAGTAGTGTCCATACAGAACTGACAATAATTTGAGTATGTACTATCCTTTCTATCACGATCTTTAAAAGAAGAATTTGTGAAGGTACAAGCTTTCCTCATACAGCTGGATGCCTTTGATTTCTCAGATGATGGGGATGAGAGTTTACTCCTCGGTTCTCGGTAAGAATTCGTCATCTATAGAAATCATAGTGCATAGTGATCCGATTGCTTTGAAAAGTAGTTCCAGTATTGACAACTAAGATGATCAAAATAGAAAAATAAGAAAAAAAAGTTTCATTTGTTTAATTTGACATGTAAAAAAATAAATTGTTAAAAGAAAATTCAATGATCTTTAGCTTTTCCCTTGACCATGTCCTCAGTGATTCTGGCAATGGGTTCAATGAACTTCTGGAAAACGACGTTAGCTCCATTGAAGGTTGGAAGATAAAGATACATGAGAAGAGAGACCTGAAATCGAAAAAACAAATGAAACATGTGATAATCTCTAAACATACCTTGAGTAAGTAGTAGAATGGTAGGCTAGTAGCGAAAGTTAAGTCAGTAATTGAGAAAAGAGCATAAATCATCCAATAGACAAGCCATTGCTTAGCTTCATCCTTTCTATCCAATGAACGAGCAACTTGGAGAGAAATATACATTGGATACACAAAGCCAGCGATGTTTGAGAATAGTTGAATGAACTGTCCAGAAAATGCATAAAGGGTGAAAAAGAGACAAGCAGAGTAGATAACCTATAAATGATTCTAATCAAACACTAACATGTTCGTTAACTTACGTTTTCTCTCTTGGTTCCGCTGATCTTCTCGATGAAGTTGAAAACGGGCATAAGAGGACTCTGGTTATCATACATCTTCTTGGTGATAGGGGCCAATTTATCTGTCACACGGTTGAAAGATTCCTCAATCAATCCACGGTTCTGATTCTTCTTCATAGCTTGAGGACTAGCATTTTCGAAGTTGGCTCCACTAACAGTTCCAGAAGTCATTTTCTAAACCAAGAAAGTGTTTAGCTGTTATAAAATATTAACAACGAAGATATAGAGAACCGAATCGTGATTGTGAGTAAGTATGGAATGATACACTACAGGCACATCAGACCATTATAACTCTAAGTTTTTCCGCCTTTTTTTGATTTTCTGATCTACACACAAACATCCAACGCATAAAGTATACTCTGTATTTTAGTGTTTGCTATGTGAGACTATAACTGTCTAGCTGGCCCACGCATTGAGCTCTTATAAATTTTAACGTTCTCTCTTTTACGATTGAAAAAATTTGCATACTTTCTTATTTTCCGTGTAACTCGACGATTTGTGTCACTCGATCTCTGTTTGCGCGTACTGAGCGGTTGATTACTCTAAAAAGAAAAATGCAACGTCATCCAATCATTCTAAAATCCATTTCAGATGAACTCACAATTCCATATGAAGTGAATCCTGGAGAAGTTTAGTTGAATCGAATATAACGAACTACTGAAATGAAGAGTTAGTTGAAACCGAGAGGATTATCACATCAAACGTATAGATACAGTAATATGCTGAGAGATGACATCTTGTCATCCATGGTTTGCATGAATGTGGTAGTTGGTTCTATGAAAGGATAAGCTTCAAGTGGAAGCTCAATTCAATTCCAGTTTGTTAAGATCATTATAAAAATCGTTGTTTTACTTATGCTACATGCGACTATGTTATTCGCAAGTACTTTTGGTTATATTTTTATGATAAACAGTGGGTACGAGTTACGTAATAGAACTGGTGTTTTCCTCACTCGGTTAACAGAAAAGTTATGTCAAAGTCTGGAATTGGATATCATGAACCTAGGTTATGGGTAGAGGGTATGCTTGTTTTCATTTTCAACGCAAGTTCCAATTTCTTCTATCACTCACATTAAGTGTTCTTGAATATACTGTTGTAACGGTTCAAACATGCTCATTCGAAACATTATTCATTTTTCTTTGATATGTAATGTATAATCACTCTCACGAACATCTTGAATTCCTTCTCAAAAGAAAAGAGCGTCACGTCTGGGCATTTTGATTTCTCCGGTGCTGTTGGTGACAAAGAGCACATGCTATAACTGTTCAGTATTGGTGCATATGCTATCCAACAGAGAGTTTTGGAAAGAACAGCAATCGAAAAAGGGTCACAGGCGTGTTTTGTCGAATCTTAGTTCCAAAAGGCAATAAAAATGATGCTACTGCTCAAGCAATATTGATGAGAATATATGTAAACCCCTATATCTCCATATTTCATGCATAGTGCTTGGGTCTTTCTTATACCTCTCTTCTCTTCTATTACCTCCTCAGTACAAATGTATAAGGATCTTCATAGAAATATAGTCAAGAGAGAAAAAGATACTCTGACGTCCCGACTCTTGTTCATCAGTTCCAAAGATACAGTTTCCTTCTTTCCTCATTTTTTTCTGATCGAAATGCTTTCCACACGCGCGAGTTTTGTGACGTAATAATATTAGCATATGTTATAATTCCACGTTTCACGTGAAACGCCGTCAGATATCATCATTTCTGGTTTTTTCAGGGGTACAGGGCGGTTGAGAGTATAGTTGATATGAATTTTATGTAACAGTAGTTAAGTTGAACCATCATTCCCTCACTATATTTACTTTCTACCTTCCAAATTATTATTTACAAAACAAAGACTGACAAAGCTCACAATGCCGAAGTATTCGTGGTTAGTTTGACACTTTGCATTGAATTCGAAATAGTTTTCTGCTTGTAAAACTTGAAAAGCGCCTAGGATGTAGTATGACGCTAACATAGTTTTTTTTCAAATAATGAAGAAAATAACATAATTGATTCGAAAAAACATTGTTAACAACAATTTAATTACTGAGCTTCCATAGTGCTAACCGTAGGCATTTATTCTTTTATCTAAATAAGATTAGAGTGAACATCAGCTCAGTTTGTGCCTTTTTATCTGAGTTGTAACACTCGCCACATTCAATGACATCGGTTGGAAGACTGAATAATTTCATAATTTGGAAGCATTACTAATATAGAGACAGCATTTGAACAAATATGTTCTTATGAAATAACCAGACTTTAGTTTTTTTCATCAATTTCATTGCCTTATCCTTAACTGTATCGAATAATCATAAAAGGAGATAGGGGGTAGTATCTTGTGGTCGTCATGATTTTCATAAAACACCTGAGTGCTAACTGTTGATTCTTATAGGTCAGTTGATTCTTAAATTGTTGGGTGTGTAATGTCTGAAGGAAATTGGGATGACTCTGGTAATTCATTTCTTTGCTAATGTTAATCTCAAATTCACTTTAAGATACTGACTCCGAACCTGTGGAGATAGTTGAGAAACCAGTTATTCTTCCAAGAGCCAGGCAACCTTCCATAGCTAAAAGCTTGGAAAAAAACGCGATCCTGGAATCGTCTGTTGCTGGTTCTGTGAAAGATATGGACGGTGATGATGTTCGAGTAATGTTATAGATAGTTTTTAATGAACTTTCATTCAGACGGATGATGATAGCGTCTCCGTTGGTAGCGCCGCTTCCTTGGAAGGCGAGGATGAAATGTATGCACCAATCACTCTAGATTTTGATGCTACAACGAGCATGAAAAAGGTAATAACGATGAGAGGTAGAAGTAAGAAGGAGAAGAAAGTGAAAACGGAAGAGAAACGGCATAAGAAAGTCGGAAAGATTTTGAAGATAAAGATAAAATCCGAGAAATTCAAAAAGAAATCAAAAGTCAAAGTGAACTTGAACGAAATTAGGCAACCGGACAAAGTGGACTAAGATATAATGTATTTGAAAGTAATTTTGTTTTAGCTTATCTCGCAATTCCGAAGTGAATATCGAAATATCATTATGGAGTTTGCGGACGTCGAAATATTTCTTATTAATTTGGACAGTTTGATCTTGGAGTGCGCAGCTCACTCATATCACAATTGGCAGCATGGAGGACAAACCTTGCTTATTGCGTCGCAGGTATCTTCATCAAAGCACACGTTGTGTTAAGCTAAGCTTTAAGATTGAACGTTTTCTGCAACATTTCCTTGATCTCGGAGGCAAGTTCAAGTTAGTAGTGTTCACTGACTTCGCCGTTCAATTCGCTAGAGACACGACTCTCGCCTTCACTAGAACTTGTGCGATCTCTCATATTGCCTCCAGCAGTTTCGGAAAGGTAGACTATTGTTAGAGACTACAAGTCTCAAGTAATGCTTTAAGGATTTGGTGTATTTCACAAGTCCTGTAGATATTGCCTGGGAGAAGTTTTTGAGAGATATTACTCCATCATTTTTGGTACGTTGTATTATTAGAAGAAGATAATAATTTTCTGACTTCAGATGATTTCAATTGAAAACGTTCCTCAAGAGTTGTGTGCTCAAGAAGATGTCAATGTTGTTCCACAGCTCGAAACTATAGGTTTGGGTTTGAGCCAAGGATAAACATACTTCCTTTTTTCAGTTTTGCATGTGTTAGCGGAAGGAATTCCCGTTGTTCTGTTAAATTCTATTGCTATCAATTTTGCTTCCGTTGAAGCATACTATATTAACCCAAAGCTTGTTATTGTCCACAACTGGGATAGCTTCGTGGCTGCTCATTGGGATTGCAACAGTTCGTTCATCAAACACTGCTTATAGCATGTTATATTAGGTGAATTGCTGAAAATGGCCAAAAACCCGGTGAATGACATTTCTCAGCTCAAAAGCACAGCTGATTTCTGGATCAAAATCATCCAAGAAGTCAAAGCAACGTATGATTTTTTTTAATATTCTTCGTTCTATCAGTTTTGTTTTCAGAAGTTGTTCGGAAAACTTCGACTCTTTTGCTTCCGCTGTTATTCTATCAGCTCTCATCACTTCAAGACGAGGAGATGATAGAATCTACATCCCTGCCAAAGAAAACACTAAGCGGGGATTGGATATCATCAAAGATAGACGCAACGTTCTTAAGACCGCAGTCTCGTTCTTAGAAAAGACTGATTTCTCCAAATCTCAGTTTTCGTTTGCGGATGTCTGGGATGGTAGAATGGTATTCACATTGTTTGATGCTATTGTGAACAATGAAGAAGTCTTGCCGTACAGACTACAGGTATCTAAACACAAGCAATCACTTCATCTTTCTTGTAATACAGGAAGAGTTCGCATTATACCATGGCAAAGCACAGCTAGCGAAACCCCTGGCTGTTGATACGACTGAAAAGTTGTTTGAACCCAAACCAGAGGTACCAATATTCTTGCTTCTAATATATATATTGTATTTCAGACTCCTAACCCACTCACTAGCTTACCTATGCTATATTCTGCGAAATCTCCTATTGTTGATCAGTTTATTCCAGAGTTGAATAAGGCTGACTCTGAGAACATTTACGTCGAGGGTAGCAAACAAGGTTTTTTTTCCACATTTTGAATCGAAGTAAAACTGTTTTTTAGACTACGTTGATTGGTTCAGAATCAACATGAGTTGGAAACTGAAGGCTATCGAAGGACAGTTCGTGGAACCTGCAGTGAAAATTGAGGATACATGGCAACAGAAAAGGTTGAACAAGTCACGCCAGTTCTTGAGTAGATGGTAATGTAAAGATAATTTTCGTTCACTCATTCATGACTCTTTGAGGTATGAAATGTTTGCTAACTCTCTGGAAGGAAAAGGATCGAATCTGCTTGTCGATTTCTCTAGAACACCCAAAGGTTACGCTTCAGTTGAAGACGACAAGGACAAGCAAAAGAAGAACAAGGGATGGGCAGGACAAAAGTCTGGTGGTGGCGGTGGAGGCGGTAAAAAGGGAAAGGAAGTCGTCAAATCCAAGAAAGAACTCATTCTCGAAGCGAACAAGAAAAATAAGGACAGCAAAGTGATTTCTTATTACTTGGATCTAATAACATATCTATTCTTTAGGCCATCGAAGGTGAAAAAACAAAAATCAAGTACGCTACTCAGCATGGAAAGAATGTAAGTTTCTCGCGAGTTGCAGTTTATTATATTCTTGTTCAGAGCGTTGGATTGTTGGTTTCTCTTCTACCTAAGTTGTGCTTATCTGAAACAAAAGCTCTTTGTTTGTATGAGATTGTAATGAGAGAAGCTAAAGAAATTCTTGCAACTCTCACTGGTGCTTCTAATTTGGAAAGGAGGTGAGAGAATACAATCATTCAATCTCTATATGGTTTGTTCAGACGTGTCGAATGCGTTGATCTTGTAGAACATATAAAACATTGTTTCACTCGTCATTGGCAATACTTGGAGGATAAGCAAAAATCTGATGTGAGCATTCCATTCTTGCTCGACTCAATCTCTGTTGCTTCAGATCGCTGATATTTGGGTATCACTGGGATTCGAGCCTCCAGCAAATGTTAAGATTTCCGCGGAATCAAAACAGAAGAAGTTGACACTCGATATCAATATGGTTTACTACCAATTGAAATACGGTGGACAACTCATTGATATTCTTGCTGATCCTCAAAAGGATGATCGTGTTACTGGTTTCAGCCCAGATGGTTGGCAGAGAAATATGTTGGATTCTGTTGATAGAGGTAAATAGGCTTCGAATAGAAGGTTCTGATCGGTTAGAATTTGAGGACATTCTGCTATCATCATTGCTCCTACTTCTGCTGGTAAAACTTTCATTTCTTACTATTGTGTCGAGAAAGTATTGCGTGCAAGTGATGAAGATGTCGTTGTTATCGTTTCTCCTTCAAAGGCTTTGATGAATCAGGTCAGTTTGATTTTTGTTTTCTTTTTCTGAATGTACTGTCCAGATGTGTGGATCCGTTTATGCCCGTTTCAAGAATAAGAGTATGACAAGAGGAAAAGCCCTGTTCGGTGTTCTGTCTGGTGAATATCGCACAAATCCATTGAACTGTCAAGTTCTTGTAACTGTTCCGGAAACTTTCGAAAGTTTGCTTCTCTCCGTTGAAAAGGAGGTTCAAGAATTTGTATCAAAGATCAAATATGTAGTATTCGACGAAGTTCACTCTATCGGGTAAAGAGATTTGTAACTGATCAAACTTATTCCTTGTTTAGAGCTTCCGACGAAGCCCATATCTGGGAACATTTATTGCTTACTATTCGCTGTCCATTCTTGGCCTTGTCTGCCACCATTGGTAATGCTTCCAAGCTTCACGCTTGGCTTTCAAATTCTGATGCCTACAAAACTGGAGGAAAGAGAAAGGTTGATCTCATTTCTTACGGAGAGCGTTATTCCGAGTTGGAACTGTCTGTTGTTGATATTGCCAAGCCCAATGAAGTTACCGAAGAAGAGAGTGAGCCTTAGCTTATCAGTATTGAGTGGATCTGGATTTTTTTTAGTTTCCAATAATGCCGTCACGAAAGGTACCGGTGCTCTCATGCCTTTGAATCCCTACGGTGTGTTCATGCCCGAGAAAATCAAGATGTTCGGAATACCTGATGACCAGCAACTGACAGCTCGACAGATCCTTACCCTTTATCAAACTATGTCTAATTACGATGATAAAGCAAAGTGAGTTAATAGTTTGTTTTTTTAACTATAGTTTGGTTCAGGGAGCAGTTCGAGCCATGTCATTACTTCGGTTACAAGAAATCAGGAAACGTGTGGATCTCAAGAGCAATGCTCAGAGAGTACGAGCAGAAGCTGAAAGAACAGTTCCTCGGCTGGTTGAACGATGGAAATCCATCTGCTGACAAGGTTCTCAAAGAATTGAGTGGAGATGGTCTTCAAGAACAACTTAACCACAGGAGTTTGCCTTTCAATAAAGTATGTGCTTAGAATATAAGAAATTCCTTCATTACGTCTCTCAGGTGAAAGTGGCCCTAGAAAACATCGTTCCATTGGTCGATAACATGAGAGACAACCAAATGTTGCCAGCTATCGTTTTCAGTGACGACCGTTTCGCCTGTGAAGCTCTCGCTCAGTTCGTAGCTACTGAGCTGGAGAACAGAGAAAGAGTGAGTTCGTAAAGTTCTTCTTTTCTCAACCGTGTTTGCAGGAGTTCATGGAGACTGATGAGTTCAAAAACAACTACGCTATCAAGGACGAAGAAGTATATAGTATTTACTTGTAGTTTTATATTTTTCTTTCTATCAGAAACTTCTGAAACTTGCCAAGAGGAAGAGAGATTTAGCTGACAAGAAGAAGGGAGACAAGGATGAGGATAGAGACAATCGTGATGGTCGAGATGGTGAAGATGAAGTTGATGCGCTTGGAGCACAGAAAGCTCGTCTAGAACAAGTTCTCGAACGGTGAGGCTTAGCTTGGCTCCCTTGTACAGTGAATTTCTTTCTAGTTTCAAACTGCGAGGACGTGGAGGTGGAGATCGCGATATCTACACCAGATTCGTTGAACGTTTGTCAAGAGGAGCAAAGCAGAGAGAAAGCACAAGGTAAGGGTTAGTTTGATATAACTTTGAACATTTTCCTTAAAGACTCTTACTTCGTTTGTTCGAACGTGGAATCGGTTTCCATCATGCTGCTTTGAACATGGTGGAAAAGGGTGCTGTTGAAGTGTTGTTCCGTAGTGGACATCTGGCTATTCTTTTCTCAACATCTACTTTGGCTCTCGGGTATCTTGACAAATGTTTTTCGTATAATATCCTTTGTCTCCAGAGTTAACATGCCTTGTAAATCTGTTGTTTTCTCTGTTGATACTCAAGTTCTGACTCCATTGATGTTCCGTCAGATGAGTGGTCGTGCTGGACGTAGAGGTTTCGATCACTCCGGTAACGTAGTGTTCCTATCAGTTCCCACAAGGTAGGTCTAGGCCTAACGTTTCATTACTAAGTTGTATAATTTTCCAGCAAAATGAGAAGACTTCTCACTGCTTCACTGTCTAACTTGCAAGGAAATCCTCCATTCTCTGTTACTTTCTTATTACGCCTCCTTTCTTATGTTCACCAAAAAGACGTCATTAATCCAGATACGGGTGCTCCTATTCTTACTTTAGAAGACAGAGCTAAGGTGTGTAAAGGAAGATGATCATGATAATAGTTATGCTTAGGTTGCTCTAACCGTTTTGAAGAACTCATTCGCTTTGTTCACGAAACGTGAGTGCAATGTTGCAACTCTTCGTGAACAGATCAAAATGTTCACCGGTTTCTCCATTCAACTTCTCCGTCATCTCCAGTTGCTCGATGAGAACGTATGTTGTAGCTAGCTTGACATGAGATCCAACATGTTTCTTTTTAGTGCAATGGAAAGAATCTTGCCGGTTTGGCCGCTTTCTTACCTGAGAAGGAAGTTGGAATCCTCCCCTTCATTCACTTGTTGCAAAAAGGTGCTCTGCATAATATGATCAAGGACTGTAACGGAAACAAGGATAAGGCTAAGAGCAAGTTATTGCTTGTTCTGGCTCACTTGTTCAGCCGTAAACGACTTCCTCCATCATTCAATCCAGATGATAAGTCAACTTACCCCAACGTACCTGGATGCAAAAACTATGTAGGCGTTGTATCAAAGTATTTTCCTCATCAAGTCCTTTCTAGCTCTTCCTTCCTTCTTTACCTGATAATGTTCTCAAGTGCTTAGATGAGTATAACACATTTACTTATGCTCTCTATCATAAGTTTATGGCCGCAGCTTCTAAGTCTAATGATCTACTTGTAAGTTCATTATGGGTCACATGAACCAACTGAAATTTTAGGCACCTATTTACTACATAAGTGGTAACAACTATGAGAATAAGGCTCTTGTGACTGAGGATCTTGTATTACCTATGTATGACGGATACTGTCACGATCAATCATTCTTGCCTGTGGTTGACTTAAACGCTCATGACTTCCGTGGTCGTAAGGTATTTTCTGGAAAGTGTAACTAGTTGTAGCTTCAATCATTCAGATTCACTACAACGCTTATGTGTTGAGCATGTACGCTAATGAGTCAAGAGAAATGCTCCATTCTGTTAATCAACTTGTCGTCAGCAATGTTTGGTTCACGATCAATGATTTCAATGTACGTTACTCTTAACCGAGCCCGTTTAACTCTATTTTCGTTGTTAAGGAAGTAATTCGTCGTTTGTCTGTCGGTCTGGACCTTGTTGCGCGACCTCAAGATGCTCTTGCCGAAGTTATGCGTGACTTGCACGCAGATTTCGATAAGAAGTTCAGACACATGTTTGGAATGAAAGGCAAAGAATAACTTATTGGTTTGAATCATTCTGGAAAGGTTTGTTTTATGTTCTGGTGGTTAATGGTATATAATCAACTTTGTTAGTTCTTTATCTGTGCTAGTTTTTTCTCCTTGGGATACGTCTTTTTCTAATGTTGTTGTACTTTTGAGTTAGAAGATTAGGGTCTAACGATCAACCTTCTACTTTCCTCTATAATTGGGATTAGAGTTATAATTTCATATCATTTCGGTATAGAAACTATACTTGAACTCGTTGCTTTTCTCTCCCTGTTTCAGAGTATTGTTTTCCGGTTTGTAATCATGCTAGAATTGAATAATTTGTTGATTTTTTTTGCTTTTTTCGGCTATAAAACTTTATTCAAGGTCTCTATTATATGGAATGTGTTGGTATCTACAATGCAATTCTTAGAAACTATGTACACTTATCACAGAGATGCTTTGATGTTGGTTTAGAAATGCGGGGAAAGAAGCTCAAAATATACATGTTAAAGTTCCAAATGTCGCCATCAGCAGATGTGTAAATAGTGAATGATCAATTGTAAAGGCGTTAACACAAAATACACGAAAGGAAAGGGTTTGGGAGATTCGAGCATCGTTTCCCAATAATATGGCGATGCGATGCGACTCAAGGAATCTGTAACAATTTTGTTTTGATTCTAAGGATGAAAGGCTATTAACACAGTTTGTTGAGCGGATGAAACAGCATTTCACACAGGTAAACACTAGAAATAGAAGCTTCCTATTATGTTTTTAGTTTAAATATGGTAGTGGATTAGAGCACGTGGCAGTGCGAACGAATAATGCTTGATAACGAATATAGTGACGGATAGATAAAAGTAATATTGTACATCTTGACTAGATAATCTCAGCTATGAAGACGTTCTGAAATAGGAAGTATACGTGAGTCTTGAAAATATTTCGTTAGTTCGATATGCAAGTATGACGTTTCTTATATTAGATAGTGTTTAAGAATAAGGAACAAACTAACTCACTTCCTTCAGTGCAGATTAACCATCGGTTGACAGCTTCTGTAATAGAAAATCAAAATCTCAGCAACATCAACTTGTACTTACTCATGCGACCAGCTACGGTTCACAAAAGTTGACCAAGAGTAAGGCACCAGGTCAGTTTCTACTTCACCATGACCAACTAAAGAACCTTATCTACTTAAGCATTCATATTTTACCAACCTAGACCTGATAAGATTAAATACTTGTTGGTCAGGACGTAGAACGATAAGAAAACAATTAAGAAAGAAATGTGCAAGCGCCAGAGAAGAATGAATGATAAGTTTCAATGTATGAATAGCTCGATGTTATGAGTTTCTTTGATATCAAAGACTGAACTTTAAAATTACGAATTGTTAAATGACAGAGGGAAGCTCTCCTTGGAAACGGAGATGTAACTAAGAAAGGGACAACCCATACACATTAAACTTCAATTCCGCCAGCTTGATGAGTATATACTATTCAGAATGGTTGTTGCTGGAAACGGAATAGAGGTAATGGAGGGGACGTGGCAGTCATCGTTTTCATATAGAATGAGAGATTCACGAGTCTCACACACACATACACGTAAACGTATGAATGTCAATTCATAGATACAAGGGATGGAGCGAGAGAATGTAAATGACATTAAAAGATGGAATTATTATTTTTATTTATATACAAGGGAAGCATGCAGAGAGGCTGCGCGTACTAAAATATGCGTGAGTGATCATCTCACTGATTAAAACATTGATCAATCTTCTACAATAATCAGAAATTAAACAGACCGCAACAATATTTACAACTGTTATTCTCAAAGTATGAAATGGTTTCAGTTTTCTAGAAGCTCCGCGAGGTCCGAATCGAAAGCCTCTAATCTGGCGTCGAAAGGAACACTGCACAGATAACACTGGTTGTGTGAAAGGTTTATGAAGAAGATATGTCGTGTAATTATGTCGCAATGAAACTGAAATATTACAGGAGGACAGTCTATTCGCAATTAGCATAAAATGACACGAGGCATTATGCACCTTAGTTATTTCCAGGCGGGCTATGAATTCATTTAACTCGTTGCTTACGCACAGACCGGTTGTACTACAGGTGAGTTTGACTTTCATTATAGTTTTTTTAAGAGAAAAGAGTCACGAAAAAAAGGAAATGAGAAAAATATGAAAAATTACGTGGCGAAATGTATACATTTAACGAAAAAAAAACTATAAATGTATGGGCTATAATCGTATATATACATTGGGACACCAGTTGAATATCCCACGACTATTAACAACATAACATTGTCCTCAAGCGATGAACCGCTGAGAAATAAACACATCCAAAATGTAACGTAAGAGAGCATTCTCTACAATATTGAACGATAGTCTGTACATTCGCTTCAATGATTCATAGATAAAACATTTTGTATCAGCGATAAGTTCTTGCAGTTTCTATCGCATACATATCGCAAACAGTAAGCAGTTTCGAGCAACAAAATGTTGAAAAAGAAATGATTCGAGTCAATAGAAGAAGAGTTACATTGTATAGAAAATTCATATGTTAACGAACTGAATGGTATGGATGATGAGCGCAAAAATGGAACCGTACAGGATTGAGGGTTTTCAATCTCAAATGGGACACTCAACCTCATATATCCGCATTATTTGCATGGAAAATAGAGGATGTACGAAGTTCTATTCAATACTCATATACGCCCAGTTCTATTCATGAACTTGATACGACACAAATTGATACACTCATATCTATCATTGTTGATGATCGTCAAGCATTTCCTCAATCATCATTTGTCATCCACCACGTCATGTTGTGTTTGTTATTATTTTTATGATTGTCTTACTCAATTTAGCTGACTGTTTTCAACAGTAAATATCTTATTTTCATATCATTCCTTTGATAACCTCATGTTCATCTTTTAGTACAAAATTTCTATTTATTCAAAATTTTATATTTGGTCCCGCAACGATCTGCGCCAATGCAATTCTAGAAATCTTGGTGCTTCTCTACAATTTACATCACTCAAGCTTTTCTTATGTTTCAATCATTGTTGCAACTTTTTTTCACAGATTTAAATTCATCTTTTCCATTTTAGAGAATGAGAGCCTTCTCCTTAGCCAGAGCTTTCTCTAGACTCGCTGTTTCTGGAGCCCCAGCTGTTGGAAGACAATTCCAAGCTCAACTCCTCCATACTTCCCGAACAGGTAAATTTGTTGCTTATGCATTATGTTTTTTCATCTGCTATTGCTTTAGTCTTATCTGTAGCCCCAGAGTTGTCTCAAGCTCTCGCTAGAGAAATCGATGCTGAACAACAACTTTCTCAGAACAATCTTGGTGGAACTGCCCCTGCCACTTTCCCCGGATTCTCCATTACTTCCAAGAACGCCGAAGTTAGATTATCAAAGAAGCACGGAAGCGAAGAGTAAGTATTGTAATATTTATTTATTGTTTTACGTCTATATCTTCTCAGCATTCTTGTCGTTTTCAATGTAAATCACTCCGTCGACATGGACGAGGCTTATGAAGACGAAGTTCAACCAGAGGTATGTTTCGTAATAAGCACTTTTAAATAATGTTGAAATCGATAGGCTGCTCCAGTCCCAGTTGCTCTTCCACCTTTCACCGTTGAAATCACCAAGGGAGCTGAAAGATTAGTCTTCCATTTGGAACTTGTCGAAAGCCTTGAAGTACAAGGAGAATGTAAGTCTCCAAGTTGTGGAACAAAGCTAGTAATATCATTCTAGTCGACTTCCGTGTAGAAGAATTCTACGTTGCTCCAGCCGCTAAGGACGGAAACGAAGATGTTGCTGATGATGTCTATGCTAGCAGTGGAAAGTACATCGACCCTGTAAGTTTATTATTTTGAAGATTCAATGAAATGTCTCTTTCACAGGATCTCCATGATCTTCTCTTCGTTCGTTACTTAGAAGAGCGCGGATTTGATGTTCAATTCTGTAAGAATTTGGTCGAATATGCCACTCACTACGAACACTCCCAATATGTTGGTCTCCTCTCCAAAATCAAGTCATTCGTTGGCAAGTAAATTAACTTTCCAAATCGTTTCTTTAAATTAGTTATTTTGCTACCAAATTGACCTCAATCATGCATAGATTTAGTTTAGATCTTTCTTAGAATATCATTGTTGACACGTTGTTTTATTGTTATGAATTTTTATTCCATCGTTACTTGTTTCGAGTATTTACAATATATTACAACGCTTTGTTAGTTGTTAGCACTCTTGCTGGGATCGACGGTGAGTGGTCTTTGACGGTCCTTCATCCAAGGCTTCACGTCTTTTCCACCTTCCCAGATTGGTCGGGAATCGACTGAATATCATTTAAGACTATTTATATATAATAGAAACTTTCTTACCAACACTACCTTGCCCTTGAGCAAGTCTCATTCCTTCACTACTTTCTGAAACAGGACCGCGTTTGACAGAATATACTGGTTGGGAAAATTTACTTGGATGAGGCACATTACCGCCAATAAGTTCTTCAGTAGGAGCCGGAGCACTCATGACCACAACAGCAACAAAGTAGAAAACAGTCAGGAAGATAAGGAAACGCATCTAAAGATATCTTTTATAGTGACTTATGATTCATCTTTTGGAGCAAAACTATAAAGTACAGCAAACAGAATTAGCGCCGGATTTGTCAATCAATCACCGATTTTGAAATTCAAAAAAAGAAATAAGGGCAAACAGAATAAGTTTTGGTGAGAGAAAAAGTTGCGTGTGAAGAGGGATGAGAACTTTCTTTTTGAGGCTGGACATAAAAGGTAAGGAAACGAATTGCATCCGTAGAAGTAATGAGCCAAGAAGCGGTTGTGGATCGCCATAATGAGAACATTGATGAGGTTTGAATGTTTTTTTTTATACTCTTTTGTGAATAGCATCTCTAATTTTATATCATTTAATGTTTGTTCTTTGATTGAGTGAAAGTAAACAAATAGTGTAAGGGAGAGGAAGAGGTGACAAAGAGGTTGCTTATGCCATCACTTACTGGATTTTGAATAAGCAATATGGATGAGATATCATTCATGATAGAGATAAAGAGAAGATGATAGAGCTCATGATCATGACGTTGGTAAGGAACTTAGAAACCAACTAGCGATCAGTATCGGAGCTTAGGCTGTTTAAATACGGCCGAAGGGCTTTCATTGAACTTGTGATTTAAAAAACGAGAACGTTCATCATTTTAAACAAATTTCTTTAAAAACAGAGGTGAGTCATCTGATAAACTAAGGAAATCCTTGTGACTGTGACGAACGGGGTGTAAAGTTCTTCTGATAATATCCAATGATCGCGAATAGTGTTAGATGGGTGTTTTGAAATGATCTATCAGCTATCAGAGCTTTTTCCTCTTTTATACGGTCCATATCGAAGGAGCCATTAAACTGCTGATTAGCATATATCGTAAACAGCAAATATTTTTTGAAATATATTCTCTGTTCCCAAATCTCTCTTATAATGTAACCTTAAACTGCGCTCTAGTGTAGGCCTAGTACTCTTGGCACTGGTGTTTATCCCCATCAAGGAGAGACTTGCTTGATATCATTTAAGATGTTCATGATTAAGAGAAGATGAAAGAGCTTAGGATGATGAAGTTCGTAAGGAACCAACTAGGCATTGCATGAACCGAGGAATTCCGTGTGACTGTTACAAGTCTTGCATATGAAGTTTCCTTCATTGCGAAACTTATTTGCATTATGGTAATGTAACTGTTGGCAGAATACGTACAGTTTGATTAGCAGAGGCTATTCTGGGCCGTAAAAGAGACCTAAGCCCTTTAAACAAATGAAGGACACACAACGATAACCCTGGAGATTCTCTAGGCGTTTACACGCTACGTCCGCGTTTTACAATCGCGCGCGTTCATCTAATATTCAAATTTCCACATAATTAACTTTTTTCTGTATTTTTTGACTTTTTGAAGATGGATTATCATAATGCGCCTACTCGAAGAGAAATGGCTTTATCCCCACTTCCTCGACCACTCGAAACTCCACATAGATCACGGAGGTTTGTTTTTCTCTGAGAATCAGATGAATGTTCGAGTTTACAGGCTAAGCGTGATCGACAAATTTTCCGAAACTGAGGCGTATATGAGGTCTAGGTTCCAAGTTTTAACGTCACTATGGGATGAAATTGAAATGTCAGAAGAATCGAGGTTTTCATATTTTCTGAACTTCATATCATATTTGTGTATCAGAGTACAGAGGGCAAGAACAGCATTTGAACATATTCACAACCTCATTGACGATATGGTATTCACTCTTTACATAATTTCTCTCTATATATATGATCTAAGGTTGAATCTGAACAACAAATGGTACAAGAAGTTAAAGCTGACATCAAAACTGGTTTGGACAAAGTAAAACAACTACGAGACGAAATGGACATGGAGGAGTTTACATACTCACAGAATTATCCCAGCTTAGCCTTGGTAATCTCTTTTTTATGTTCATCGGTACTGATTTGTTTTCAATGCAGCTCCGTCATGTGGAAAAAGAACTAAAGTTGATACAGGAGGAACATGATGAACGAAGGAGATCTCAGAATGAGCTTATCGAAAAAGCAGCACACCTTTCGTTACGCATAGGAAAAGACATTCAGGATCTTGTACCAGAAAAAAGAGTTAGTTTCGAGAAATTTGAAAGAGTTTCATAGTTTTATTTAAGCTCATGAAGCCTGTGGAGATTGATACGCTCAAGGCTGAAATGATCCATCTTCAAGAGGTGTTCGATGAACGACTACAAACTGCTGCTCAGATGCAAGCTGATATTCGTAATTGGGTGGAACGCCTAGGTTTGTCCGAATCTGATTCATATTATAAAAACGTAATTTGTAGGAAGTTTGTTTAATGAGAACGAGAGTGCTGAGGTGAAAGTGATCTTGATGACTGATGTACAGAGCGAAGAGTTTGTGCTCTCCGAAAGCTCTTTGGGCACAATCAAACAATATCATAGCCAAGTACGTACAAGCGCTATAAGTCATGTAACACTTCAATTTTCTCTTAGATTTCCGAAATATATCAACAATGGCTACAAGATCAAGATTTTCAATGGACTAGCAAGTATACTGTATTGGAAGAGCTATGGGGCAAATGCATGGTTGGGCTAGCTGAACGAGCATTCCTCCCAATATTCGATCCATGTAAAAATCATTATCAAAACTCAATTCATCTGAACCGATTTTCCAGTATATCACACTTCCAAAGATTTGGATAGAATGGGGTTGGAACAAGCTCGCTTGGAGAAATTGTACCGTTCCAGAAAACGGATTTATGATCATGTTTCAGAGTGAGTATGGTGTCCTATGGGCTGAATTATTTTTCCCTTTCCAGGTTTCAAGCAGTGTGGGAGCAGAAAATCGCTCTTAGCAGCAAGATGAGAGAAGCCGGTTACTATCAAAGCAGAGATAGATCTCACAACATCTTGAAAGATGCGCAGGTTCGAGTTCTCTTTGTATAAATTCAAACCGCCATTACTCTAGTTGGAACGACAATTGGAACACAGTATTACTGTATTAGAGAAACAAATCGTAAAATCATACAGTGAGTACGTTTCCAAGCATCCAGAAGATCCATTCAGGTAGAGTGAGGGTCGTAAACGTTTTCTCATGGACCTCCATGATTCAGAATCAACTCGATTTCTCCACCTGATTTTGTTAGAAAAACAAGAGAAGACTATTTTGCTGCTTTGGAAGAAGAACGTCATAAAAAGGTTTTTTAAACTTCGGTCAACAGACACTTAAGTCTTTAAGGCGCTCATGAGACAAACCAGCTCTTCAACGCTCAGCTCCCCACGAACACCACAAAAGAAGGCATTTGCTAGAACACCAGCAAGTTGTGGAAAAATGGAGCCTCCTCTCAAGGTTCAAAATGTCCAAAAAAACATGTTTTAATATGAAATATACAGAAACCGATGCTTGATAGAGCTTTCACCCCACGTAGTGGACGGATGCCAAGTTTAATACAGCCAGTTAATAAGACTTCCGAGGTGAGCTACGAAGACGGAAATGGACAGAAACCGGGCTTTCAGCGTGGTCCCAAAACATCATCACCACGTCAAGCTGGTACTGGGACACCCGGTAGAACTCCACTTAAGAGACATAATTAAAGAGCATTAATTAACCTACTCATCCAGATTTTAAATCAAGTAATATCCTATTAACTGATCTCCCATAGTTAGGGAACTTTTTTTTATAACCGGTATTGAATTTCTGCCTTGTACAGCATCTATATTTATATATATATATATTAAAGTTGGGCTAGTAAATTCGATATATATCGAATAAGTCGATTTTTAAATTTTTCAAAGTTCCTGATTTTCTATAATGTTGTGAAATCATGTGGTGATGGTGAGTAGCTTCACAATAATTTTTTTCTCTCCTTTGAACCCTTTCGACGAACTTGGGCTTCATCAGACTTGACCATGAAAGCGAACTCTAATGCTAAACTAATGATGATGATGATGAAGAAGATGACGATCCGAATTCCTAAAGGTCAATAGAACTGTGACTGTTTCTCATTGATAACTGAATAAGGTGTTTCTCATTGACGTTTCTTGAGTAGAAGGAACAGTAGTTGTTGTGTGGAGTAGAGGATCAGAAATTGGGCGACGGGGAAGGCAAAAGGAAATTGATGCAAGCAGTCGAACTTAGTGTATTGGATACATGTAGTTTATTACAATTGACATTATGTAATATCATTCTTATGAACTCTTACCTTGGCTTTTCACTGCGCTTTTCACATTAATAAAGCCGTTTTTCACTATTTTTTTGTTTTTAAGACTTCAAAATGAAATTGGGTCCTGCAGCGATCTGGTCAATAAGGCTCGCGCCCCGCATGACAGAGCCCCCTGGAATGTTTGTTCTTCATATTGCTCATCACCAGCTGCAAGAAAAACGTATACAAATGATTAAAACATGAAAAACGCTCTCTAATATTCTTTATAACAATATTTTCATCAATCTGATATCCAATATGTGTTAAGAAAACTGTTTAACATATGCTTTTTTAAGGGGACAGCCCTTTACTGGTAACTTCATGCCATGTCGAGAGGAATAGATCGTGAGTCATTTGTCAAGGGACAGGTTGATCACATGTAGTTAGAATAGTTGTTATACCCCCCTTTTACAGCTTGAAGCTATTCATAAAGCTTTGAACAAGACTGAGCTTCCTTTGAAACCAAAACATGCGCGAAGCATCATTCTGGGAACTCATACAGAAAGGTTCATCACCGTTTGAGAAAAAAAACTATTCCATCATTACTTTCAGATCCAGCAACATCTTTTGGAATGCTGTAACTCGAGTTCAGCTTGAGAAACACCCTGTGTTGACATGGAAGGTAAGAATGACGTTCGAAAAAAGCCACTGATGAAGTTTCCAGTTTTGCCATTTGGTACATAAATTGATTCGCGATGGACATCGCAGGGTTCCTGAAGAATCGTACAGGTAGGATTATCGACTTTATTGTTTGCATTGCTTTCTGAACATAGATATATTCCCAAAATACAATCTTGTGGTCAATTTTGGAAGCATTTAAATACTTCTGGCTATGGTGCATGTATCGAATACTACTCGAAAGTTTTGTGTCAGCGCCTCGAATTTCACAGAAGAGTAAGACCGGTTATCGATCGATGATTAATCAATGCTTTAATAAAGTATCCTGTCGTGCCAGGAAATCTGAATTTAACTGACGCTCAGTTAAAAACCTTAGAAAAGGATCTTGATAATGCATTTGAAATGACGATTGCCATGTTGGACGAGATGGACAATCTCTTGAGCCTGCAAGCTCTCGGTTAGCTCTGCTCCTGAATATGTCTTATTTATCATAAACTTACTTCAGTCTACTCTACTTTGGAATGTTTACGATGGAGCTCTTTAGTTCCTGAAGGGCAATGCTTGCTTGCTCCTCTTATCTTGGTCATTTTGGATACGAGCAAATTTTACGACTACTTAGTTAAAATGATCTTCAATTTACATAGTCTTGTACCTCCAGATGCTCTGGAAGGTCACCGTACAAGATTCAGGGTTACCTAATCTATGATAGGATGCAAATCAATTTGTGTTTTCAGGAAGCTTTCCGCAAAACCAAGAAGTTCTATGAAGAGTCCAGTAATCTCCAGTACTTCAAGTTCCTTGTGTCGATTCCTACTTTACCTGCCGTAATTTTAATTTGAGTGAAATTGAACAATCTTCTATGTCTAGGTTGCTCCTAACTTCTTACAAGCTTCTGACCTCGAAAGTTACCGAACTCCTCACGCTTATCTTCATTCCGAAGGCCCTGACGACACAACCAGCGTCGTCGAAGATACTCTTCTCGACCTGACAATGGAAACAGCTGCTCCTCCTCCAGCAATTCCTGAAAATGACCCAAGGTACTCATGATTTATATTATCTAAACGTTGTTTTGTTTTTGTAGAGATGAACAGATTGTGGCTCTTCAACGTGAGATCGAAGACCTAAAATTCGCGAACGAACGTTTCGTAGCCAATGCGAAATATAGAATTGAACAGTATGATAATCGTTTGGCTCAGATTCAAAATGAATTTGATCATGCTCGCCGAGAAGCAGATGAAATCAAAGAAGAGAAACAGCGCCTAGCAGGTGGGACGCTATTCTATCGAAAGCTTTAAAACGTGTTTTATTAGCTGAGCTCGCCACAAGAGACTCGCTCCGCAGTGAAAGTGATGATGCCAGGGTGCACGAAGCCAATGAAAAAGCGAAGCTCACAGACGAGAAATTTGCCAAAATGAAAACAGTGTATGAGAAGTTCCGTTTGGAACATTTGGAAGTAAGATAATCTCTTATATTCTCTGATGGTTATCGTTGATTCAGGCGCTGACCACACTGGGAAATCTTCAGAAGCAAATGCAGGAATGCCTTAAACAGAAGATGGACAAAGAAGAAGAAGTGATTTTCTGCTTCTCAAATCCTACAATATCGTCCTTATTCAGCTAACTGTTGTGAGCCGCAGATTGGAAGAAGCCGAGAAAGAGAAACACTCTTTGATGGCTCAGGTTGCTGGAGAATCCTCTGTCATTGACGAGCTCCGTGCCCAACTTGCAAGATCCGATATCGAACTTGTCGAACTCAAACAGGTCGGATATAGGCATTAGTGAATAATCCATGTTTTCATTCCGTTTCAGCAATTGGGAAATATAATTAAATCGTGTTTGGCTATGTTCTCTCGTTGCTCAGAAGACTTACCAAACTCAACTTCTATTTCTTACCCCATTCGTAAGATCATCAACATCTTCGTTCGCTTTCTATAAGACGAGTTTTAAGATCTTGCTCAATCTATGCTACAAGTTTCAACTTCAATGGTCTCCAATCTTGCTGATGACTCCACGGGCTCTGATACTATTTTAGCCGCTCACCTTCTCTCAAATGCTCTGTTCGCTTGTTCTTCTGCCGCTTATACGGCTTCCATCCCACACTACGACGGTAAGTCAAAAGATTTGTTATCTCTCAATGTGTATTCCTATTCTGCAGGTGTGAATGAACAATGTAAAATAGTTTTGAATAAAGCTGAAGCTGCCTTCAGTGTAAACCCAGTGAATGCTTCCTCACTTTCCGCAGAACTAGAGAAGCTCAATGTTCTTGTTGCTGCTGTTCCTATCCAATCAGACATCGACAAGGTCTTAATACCACAAAACATATGATTATCATTATGTTTATCTTTCTAGGAAGTTGTTGGAAATGAACTGGAGGCTGAAATGAGGCGAATGGACGAAGCTATTAAACAAGCTGTTGAGAAGATAGAAGCCATTCAACAAAAAGCTCGCGAGAATACGAAGGGCGTCAGGTGAGTTTCATCGTAAGTTATCGAATTTCAGTTTATATTTTCCAGATTGGAAGTAAATGAATCAATTTTGGCCACATGTCAAGCTCTGATGAATGCTGTTATGCGTCTTGTAGCTGCTTCTCGAGAACTTCAACTTGAGATCGTAGCAGCCGGAAGAGGAGGAACTTCTCCAGCTGAGTTCTACAAGAAAAATCATCAATGGACTGAGGTTCCGTCTAGTTTCAAAGGATTTTTAATTTTCGCATAATCTAGGGTCTTTTATCAGCTGCCAAATCAGTTGGTGTCGCAGCAAACGTATTGGTAGCTGCTGCTGATGGAGTTATAACTGGAAAAGGTTTATCAATGGCTTCTCAATCGTTTCATTTTTTTCTTCTTGTTCAGGAAAATTCGAGGAACTCATTGTCGCAGCCCAAGAAATTTCCGCTTCAACCGCTCAACTATTCGTTTCGAGTCGTGTTAAGGCAGACAGAGACTCTCAGAAGTATGTTTTCGTCATATTTACAAACTATTGATGCTTTGTTAATAGATTATCCACATTGTCAGTCGCATCTCGTGATGTTTATCAATGTACTGTCCAAGTTGTGGGTTCTATCAAGTCTGGCCAGAACACGCTGAATGAGAAAGGTATCCTATCCATCCCTTATACGGATAAACGATTTTCATTGATAGACGTTCTTGATTTCTCCAATCTCACCTTACATGACGCTAAGAAGGAAGAAATGGAATCGAAAGTTCGCGTCTTGGAGTTGGAGCAGGCATTAGAAATGGAGCGTGCCCGTTTGCGCGAGTTGCGGAAGCAGCATTTCCATATGGCAGAAGTAGCAAACAAGGTTGTCTTACGCTTCATTTTCGAAGTATTATTTATTGATTTTTCTTGTAGGATAACGCGAATGATAAGGACAATTCATTCGAGATATTGGGTTAAGCCTTATTTCATTTTTTGTATTCGGTGAAAGCAAAAAAAGGTTTTGCATGACTGATGGACGCGTCAAGTTGTGTTCTTATCTTCCGAAAGGTTGTTATCATGTTCATAACATCATTGCCAACATAATGGACCTTTTTTGTTCTTTAATGATGTAAATTACACAAAAGTATGTATAGTGTATAGTTCTGCTATTTATTCCAAATCTTGAAAAAGTCATATCTTGTGTGTCCGGAGAAAGATCTGAGAGTATCTCGGTTTGTGAATGTTTTGGTCAATTTCTCGTGGTGTGAACTCAAAACTTCTGAAACAAACACAAAAATGTGATAAGTGTAAACTGTTTTACCTTTAACTGTGAAAGATTCGTAATAAGGTTCCTAATGCCAATCCCCCCCCCAATGCACATCTTCGCTGCTCGTCTGTCCCACTCAAAATCTCTTTGTAGTTTGCTCTATTTGTAATCTGATTTTTCAAATCTTTCACTTTGTGAGTTGTGCAATTTGTTTTACAATATAATAATGTCCAAATATAGAATATTCGTTTTGCATATGTTGGTGAAGCGTTCGAACGCTTTTCATATTTATTTGCTTTTTTTGTTTTCAGCTTAATCATGAAATCACATAGACGCTCTTCTCACAAAATGGATCGTAGTGATGAGGATGTTCCTCTTCTACGCGATTCGAGCCGAAGCGCAAGTTATGCGGAAAGCAGCAGCGGCGTACAAGGAAACGAAGAAAGTGTTGATAGTCGAAACAAAAATGTTGTCGGTAATATTCTCCCTCGTCTACTTTTCACCTTTTGCCAATTGTTGCAGGAGGAGCGTCAGTGACATGTCGAGTCTGTGATGCTCAGATTGCTTTAGAAGGAAGAAATACACAACACGTAGTCAAATGTAGCGAATGTCATGAGGCAACTCCTATTCGTCCTGCACCGACAGGAAAAAAGTAGTTTTCTTCAAATCATCTAGGACTCACGTGGTTTACCTTCAGATACGTGCGATGCCCTTGTAACTGTCTGCTCATTTGTAAAGCAGCATCCACAAGGATTGCCTGTCCTCGTGCTAACTGTCGCCGAGTTATCACTCTGAGTAATTCTTTCCTGTTGCTCTCAAAAGCTTATTCCTCCACAGTTTCAGGAAATCGAGAACCCCAAGGGAGTGCTGTACGAGCTCCAACCGGAAGTTGTCGCGTCTCTTGCGTACATTGCCGTGAAGTTTTCTTATTTAATACTCTAAATAATAGCTTAGCTAAATGTCCTCATTGCAAAAAGAAGTAAGTTTCATCTGTGTGTGATGTGAGAGTAACAGAAAATCGTTTTAGTTCCACAATCGGAGGATTTGCTCGCAGGCGGGCTCTCCTGTTCTTATTAGCAGCAGTAACGATGCTCATCCTCAGCGTCCTGGTGACGGTTTTCGGAAAGAAAGTGAGTTTGCTGATGCTGTTGTTGATCTATACTATACATATATATTCAGGTGGCAGGCTTTTGGGTTTATGTTGCAGGGTTAATCTTTTATTCCTTAACGTTGTATATGTGTGTTCAATTCATAAAGTATTGGCTGGTGAAAATGAGCACGATTATCGGACCGATCTGAGTGAATGCATGATCACCCTCCTCCCTCCCTCCGTAGCTCTTTATATTGTCTCTCTCTCTCTTTCTTTTTTTCCAACTCTCTCTCTCCCTCTCTTCTCTCTCTCAAACAGTCTCGTCATCCTTCTAAATTTTATATGTTGAAAGAACTTGCCTGAAAAAAAGTCGCGTGTGTACTCGTGCGTGTGTGTGTGTGTGTGAAATACTGTTGTTCACTTAATGTTGTTCTTCCTGAAATTATAGTTTCGGTGCTTTGCTCTTATAAGGAAATCATGTTTGAAGTTTCTCTTTTTGTTTATCTGCGTGTATAATCTGCAACTTTGTGATAGTGTGGATATATTCCCACCCATTCCTTGTATAATATCTTCCGGATCTAATGCAGATGTTTGTATTAACTAATACTTGTTTAAACGACCGAAATCGTAGACGTTAGTCGCTGGAGGACAGACATACCGTTTCTTTTATTTTCTTCGTTTTTTTCATATCATTAAATATATATATATATTCGTAAATTATGTCCCCAAATGTCATCCTTTACTTCTAGTTCTTGGCCGTCGTACAACTAAAACGTGTAAAGTTAGTTCTTATATATCCCGTTATTTCTGTATTTTTGATTATATTCTCTCTACCAGTATCATCAATAAACTGATAGAATTCGTTGTACCTTCGTTCATCTCATAGTCTCAGTTCTATGCATATCGCAGCTTTCTTCGTTTCATACATTCCACGTCTGCATTCAGTTTTATATGGATTTATGATTCGCTCAGAAGTTCTGACACTGTACAAATCCATCTTACAACTCTCCAAGACTTTCAAATACACAAATAAACAGTTCTTCGTAGAACGCGTTCATCACGAATTCTACAAGAACAGAAACTTGAAAGGACTATCAGCTTTAGCTGCTCAACGAGTATGTTTTCCATACTCGTTTCAATCTCAAAAAATGATTGTTACAGCGTGCCAACCACTTGTTATTGTGGAAACGATTCATATAAGAAAATGGTCTGTGTGCTAGGAATCGAAGGTTCTGCCAATAAAATTGGTGTCGGGATTATTAGAGACGGTGTTGTTCTCTCTAATCCAAGAGCGACTTTTCATGCTCCTCCCGGCGAAGGCTTCAGACCCAGTGAAACTGCACAACATCATAGACAACAAGTAATTGCTAGTGACTTTCTGCTCACAAATCTTTCTAGATTCTCAAAATGCTCACCAAAGCTCTGAAAGAAGCTAATATAACTGATCCAGAAAAAGAAATCGATGGCATAGCCTTCACGAAAGGACCCGGCATGGGAGCACCTCTTCAAGTTAAACAGTCATTTTCTTGAGAAAGTGAACATGAAACATTCAGGTTGGAGCTGTGGTTGCGCGAACTCTTTCTCAAGTTTGGTGTAAACCAATCGTCCCTGTAAATCATTGTATTGGTCATATTGAAATGGGACGTCTCATCACGGGGGCTGATAATCCAGTTGTCCTATATGTTAGTGGAGGAAACACTCAGGTTCGTTCTGCTGCGCTTCCGTTACTTATCTCCACACAGGTGATCTCCTATTCCAACCAAAAGTACTGCGTGTTTGGTGAAACGATAGATATCGCTGTCGGTAACTGCCTGGACAGATTCGCTAGAGTGATTATGCTCCCAAATAATCCGAGCCCAGGCTTCAACATAGAACAAGCCGCCAAAAAAGGTTCGAACAATGAACTAAGAAGTAGCTTACCTATTGCAGGTTCAAAACTGTTGGAATTGCCCTATACTGTCAAAGGAATGGACGTTTCTTTCTCCGGTCTACTCTCTTTCATCGAGAAACGAGCTCCTCAGCTTTTAAAGAAAGGAGAGTATACCAAGGAAGACCTGTGTTTCTCATTGCAAGAGACAGTCTTTGCTATGCTCGTAGAAATAACGGAGAGAGCAATGGCTCATACGAACAGCAGCGAATTACTGATAGTTGGGGGCGTAGGATGTAATGAGCGCCTACAGGTTTGGACTTAGCTTTTTTCAGATGATAATGCTTATCATGTTAAGCAAATGGCTTCTATAATGTGTGAGGAGCGAGGAGCTAAACTGTTCGCAACAGATGAGCGTTTCTGTATCGACAATGGAGCCATGATAGCGCAAGCGGGTTGTTTGATGCTCCAGACAAACTCAGATGTGAAACTGAAGCAAACTGCGATCGTCCAGCGATATCGAACTGACCAAGTTGACGTGATCTGGAGGTCTTGAAGAGAAATTGTTACACACATGTTGTTATCGGAAAATGAACTTTCCCTGATTTTCTTTTGAGTACTTTTCTGATTCTGATTTTTATAGAGCAAAATTGAAATTCTGGCACTGTCGGCATTTGTTTGGACTAGCTGGAGCTTGAGTCATTATGCTTCCAAACGATTCGAACCCCGGCTACAACATGAAACGAGCGGCCAAAAAAAGAATGATAAAGTTAGGAATCGTCTAATTGTTCAAACAAACAGCAGTAACTAATTGACGGTTGGAAGTGTGCTTTCCATAAACCATGATTCTTATCAAGTTAGTCACTGTTAAGGAAAACATAGAACACTTCACAAATCTTTTCTTTTTTCTTTATTTTATATTAATTTTACTAGAGTAAAATTGAAATTCTATCGATGGCTCTTCTAATGACATCGAGACGTGTATGGATTTCCTAGATTCTTGCTGAACTCATGATTCTCCCAAACGATCAGCTACTTATCAAATACGAGAAAGAGTTGTGTTTATGATTTGAGGACTGCTTGCAGTCTCTCATTCAATCAATTTTTACTGATATTTTCTTCATATCGAGGTCAGAGTGATCTTCACAAGTAAAAGTTTTCAGCCCTTATGTCGAAAAGATTAAAGAATGAGTAAGTTCGTTGTAAAGAGCGAAAGGTTTATATAATCATTGCCGAATGAGTCCATATGACTATTCAACATTGATAACACTAGGATTCTTACAGATAATTCGTTTCACAACTTTCTCGTTGCAACCTCCATTTCCATACTTCTATTCTTCTTTCAGGCGAATTATGACTGATGGTGAGGTCAGTGAAACTGAATGGAAAGAAGAAGCTGAGAAACAGCAGCAGTTCTTCTACCACAGCTATGGCAATCAGTGGTTTCAAGCTTATAACCCAGAAAAGGATAGATTGCTCTTACGTGCGAAAGTTAATTTCTCATTGTTCGGAAAACCAAAGGTAGATGAGCTTAAGACTATAGAAGAAGCATATGATGAGAAGCAGAACAAAGCTTCAGAGCAGATTGTGAAACAGATTTATGAGGTGAGGAGTCTCTCGTGAGTTCTCTCATATCGCACACTCCTTGCAGGCTCACCGTAAGTTAGTCGGATCAGAAGACAAATTATGTGTTTCCATTATTTTTATTCTTTGTTACGAAAAAGAAAAAATGTTTCGTCAGCCGGTATATGCCGTGAAAGGTGAAGGAGAGATTGTCTACTTCATTGACACGATGGGCAGAACCTACAAGTCATGGACGGATTTCAAGGATAATAACAAATGGAATGCTATGGATATATGTATACCACTCAACGGATACTATAGCTGTTCACCCAAAGGCTTCAAGTATGATGCTGAAGCGGATGTACTAGTGGAATTCATTTTCACACCTGCAAAAAAGAAATCACACAAACTGGTTGACGTTGCTGACTGTGCTGCAGCTGTTGTTGGATTAGGTTTGAAAAGAAATGTCTTTCCTTATCAAATTTTTTAGGAGCCGGTGTCATAGGCATAGCCTCGCTTTTCACACCGGCTGGATGGGGTGTTGCAGCAGTCGCGACATATGCTTCTGTTGGTGGAATGGGAGCAGCAGGTTATGGTTTTGTGAGGTGTGCAACAACCTCAAATGATTATTGCTTTCAATTTGTTATAGATCTACTTATCAGATAGTAGACAAAGCATTGCATGATGAAGACATGCTTAGCTTGGATAGTTTCGTGTTATATGGTAGTCTAGTTCTAACACCATTGGCTTTTTCATCCTCGATCGCGACGGGACAACTTGCTCAGCAAGTTGCTCGAGGAAGCATAGGAACCAAGACACTGAGATCAGTTGTGACCTTACTGAACGTGACCACACTCACTTTAGATGGAACGATGATCGTAGTCGGTGTCGTGAATCTTGTGGATAAGTATAAGAAAGAAGAGTTGACAGCTTTGGATATTATGCAGTTCTCGATGAGCGTCTTCTTCTTCACTCATACTTTGATACAGCCGACTACAGCAACTCAAGTGATCGAGAGAACCCAAAAAGAACATATTCAAACTTACAAAACAAAAAATCTTAGCGAAGGTGATGCCATGGCTAGTTTCGACAGATTTATCGAGAATAATCGCGGGGATATATATAAGGACTCGAACATTATCCGCACCATCAATAGAATGGATAATCCCGATGCTTTCTTCACCACAAACAGAGATGCGACGATGACGTTGGGAGGAAGAAAAGGAAAGACTGTGTTTGTAACCGATAGCAATGGAGTTACTAACAGAATCAATCCCAATAGGTTGGTTCAATGTTGTTCACTCAACTTCCTGATGTGTTTCCAGAGTAATCCAAACAGAAGGTTTCAAGCCATTCGTACTGAAAAATAGAAACAGAATACGAATTGAAAAAGCTCTTGGGGAAGACATCGAAACTTTCGAAGTCGGTTCTAACAAGATCTTTCAAAACGCATCTGAGCATGAACTAAGAGTTCTTAATACAACGATTGATGGAAAAATAGAGAACCTTGAGATCGTGAATGTGGCGAAGAAACTTTGTGAAGATCTGAATGAGAATACAACGAGTAGCTTCATTTCAATGTTTAAAATCGTTGCTGCTCATGTTAAAGGTAAGTACCATTCTTTGATCATCAAGAAATCGTTGTTTCAGAAGGAAACACAACCGAACTCCTCTCAGATCTGCTAGGACCAGGCCGAGCTGACTTTCTTAGAGAGTTGAAGGCTAATCATTCAGAAGCTACCAGATTAGCCGGAGAAGCGAAACTGTCTTTCAAAAATGGGTGGCAGGCTGTTGATCACTTTAGGAAACATGGAAAGGAGTTTCTTTCAATGATACCTAATATTGAATGTTACTTGAACATTGCTCCTGAGATGTATAAAGACGCTCATCTTATAAGAACTCATAATATGCAGGTTTGAAGTGCATTGTCTCTGACCATTCTGAATCATCCTTGTAGGATGGGCGTATTCGCAAAACTTACTTGAAGCCCAATGATACCTTCATGGTAGTTGAGCAGACACGAGAAGGTGTTGATATTGCATCGATCTACGTTAGATCCGGTGAATGGCGCCAGTATTTGCAAGATCTAGCCGATCAGAGCTCCTCCATAACGGTCGGCTTAAACTTGTGGGATTTCGTTATTGGCCAATTCACGAAGTTTAACGTTACTCCAAGATTTTTTGTTTTCAATAGTCAACAACAATCTCAACATTCAGATGGAACTCTCGATGAGTGTTTCGTTGATTTCTTGAAGTCAATGTCGGTCGACGACATTGACTTCGATTAACTCGGTTGTTGAGAATTTTTGTTTCTGTTGTCTGTTATGGTGCTCATTCTCATATCCCTGTGTTCAATTACTACACATTCCAATAAATCATTTTTAAAATATCGAAAGCTAAATTCTGCAGAAAAAGAAATTCCTGAAAGATGTTTTACTCTGTCAAAGTTCATTATAGGTAGCAAATACGTAAACGGCCTTGCAGTGGGCGGAGCCTGCGCGCAGAAAACTAAGTACACCGGCGAGTCGCTTAAGTTGATATCTGTTCATTGAACACCAAGTGATTCATCATGTCTGGACGTGGTAAAGGAGGAAAAGCTAAGACCGGAGGAAAGGCCAAGTCTCGTTCTACCAGAGCTGGACTTCAATTCCCAGT